GCGTCTCATGTCACTAATTATACACTCCACTCCTCAAGTTATCTTGGTCACATGGAAGAAATTTAACTTGAAAAAGAAAGAATCCGTTGTAATTAAACAATTAATATTCTTTGTGCTTGAACTAGCTTTAAGAATAATTAATTAGTAGTATGTTACAGCGACAGCTGTCCTTACATCACTACATTATTAATGACATCATCTCAAGTCAGCAGCAGCACCATCATCATCATCACAACAACACAAAGTGAGAGCTGTAAATTTAATCTGCACAAACATTTTCAATCAGGGCTCAAAATGTTGAACTGTCAAAGAAACGTGCAAGAAAATAAACTAATGTCACTCTACAGACACATTTAGAGAGAGGACAGTTCACAGAGACACAGTGAGGACGAGTGAGACTGAAGGAGGTTCAACCAGTTGTTCATGGACCAGAACCAGATGAGAAGAACAGCAGAACTTCCACTGACCAGTGATCTGACCAGTGATCTGACCAGTGATCTGACCAGTGATCTGACCAGTGACCTGCTCAGTGATCTGATCAGTGATCTGACCAGTGATCTGATCAGTGATCTGACCAGTGACCTGACCAGTGATTTGACCAGTGACCTGACCAGTGATCTGACCAGTGATCACACATGTTGTTCTAAATTAAACTTTGGTACGAACAGTGTTAAATAATTCATGTCATATTTTTTATTGAACAATAATCTTCATTCTAACAGTGACGTTGTAATTTCAGAGACTGAGGAAGAAACAGAAATGAGGTGAGTGAGATGAGGGAAAGATGAAAATGTGTCCTCAGAGGACGGAGACATGTCAGGATCTGATGATCCAGGATCAACAGGACCAGGAGGATGGATCAACAGGACCAGGAGGATGGATCAACAGGACCAGGAGGATGGATCAACAGGACCAGGAGGATGGATCAACAGGCAGTCAGGGAACAGAGATGAAAACCTGAGGGAAGAATTAGAACACAAAAACATACATAAGCAGGACAGAAGAAACTCAGACAAGAAAATTAACTCAGTCCTGCGAAGAAAAATGTTAATGGAAAATAAATTGACATATTTTTACAAAAGATCAGATGAAGACAACTGGCATGAAGAAGAACTTCCAGCTCCATCTCAATGTACCTGTGATAGTTTAATAAGTGTTTTGTTACTGTCCTACAGTTTATTGATGCTGATTTATTCTTGTAATAATTCTTATTTCTTGTTCTGTCTTGAAAGAGTCTCATCTCAACTTGACCCATGATTACCAAACACTAAACTAATAATATAAAACTAATGTAAATGAACAGTCCTGCAGTAAATACCAACTTTGTGAAGGTTATGGTGTTAAAGTAATTTTATTCAAACATCTTGATTCAGCTGTTATTGATTAATAGAAGACAGAAAATGAGATCTTGTACCTTTGTGATACTTTGAATGCAACATTCAGTTCATGAAGTCATTCTCCTCTGGTTTACCTGGAAAACATGAAAAACATTGACTCATCTCCACAATCACGTTTTTCTTTAATGATAATGTCACAACTTATGCTGCAGTCTTTGACAAATGATCTATAACTTTAACTAAAATACATCAGTCTTGTTGTCATGTTGTCATCATTCTTTGTTAAATCAGGTCTCTCTTGTAAATGAGTCCTCGAGGCTCAATGGGATTTACCTGTAGAAATAAAGGTTGAATGAATCTCTCAGGAAAAAAAGGCCAAATATTTTCTAGTTGAGTTCAGTAACTGGAATTACCATAAATTTAAAAAGACCACCTTTCAAAATTTAAGCAGTAAGATATTTTTAAAACGTTGAATTAGAAATAGACTTGTTTAAACCGTCATGTTGCAGAGCAGCTGCAGTTAAAACACAACTAACAATTTAAAATGTTTCATTAACTAAAACTGGCGATATGAAGTATTAATGTTGATAAATTGTGGTACAGAACAGTCAGATAACTCTTCACAATGGCAAAAAAAGTGTCGTATTTTCATCAATTTACTGGAGAAAACACGGAGAATGAACTACGTTCAATGCTGAACCCGCTGCTGTTTGGAACTCTTTGCCGCTGCATGATCCACGTGACTTCCGCATTCCATTCTTTCTATGGGAGTGTCGCAACTCTCTCTTTATAGGGCTCCTATCTATCTATCTATCTATCTATCTATCTATCTATCTATCTATCTTTCTATCTATCCCCCCCCCTCCCCCGTCCTGTCCAGCATTGTGACACTTAGAATTATTGTCTGAGTGTCAAAGTGATGCCCAACAGATTTACTTTCACAAGCAGAGCATCATGGCTGGCCTTAATGCTCTGCTTGATATATAAATTAAATTTTATTAGAATATGCTTTGGGTTTGTTCCAGATGTAATGGACACGGGGACGGAAAACAAAGAAGATAACAAAGCAGAAAAGTGAGAGAAGAGTTAAAATGTAAAGAAGGAGATAGGAATAGAGGAGAGAGAGAGAGAGATAAAGAGAACACAGATCAACATCATTGAAGTCTGACTCTAGACCTGCGGGAAAAAAAAAAAAAAAAAAACGACAAAACCAAGAAACCACAACAACAAACAACTTATATAATGATACTTATAACATCATTAGAAAGTATTTTATACAGTACATGGTAATACAAGATATATTTAGTGGTATCCACAACCCAACTGAGAGTGTATCTGATAAACACCTGGATTTAAACACCTGTATGAGCATGATGTCACTATAAGGTTTCTCCATAAAAATGTTCAATAGTGGATGTGGGGACCCATAAACCCATCCCCACAGGACACGATGGTAACACAGGGAAGACCGGAACCACAGACACACAGCGGCCCCCAAGCCCGGAACTCCAGTAGTCCCCCAACAGGGACACCTGCACCCCCCAGAGAGAGAAGCAAAGGGAAGCCCCGGGCGATCCCCAGCAACCACAATGCAGAAACCCCCAGGAGGCTGCAGCGACGAGTCAACAGGCCCCGCCGGCAACCCGCCCCTCCAGAGCGGATCCAGCCATGGACACCAAGCCCCGAGTCCCGAGGTCATACCACCCCCAACAGAGGCCCGACAGAGCCAGGGCAACCAGGCCCCCACAGGCAGCCACCAGGGCGGGCCCGCACACACGCCACCACCCAGCCCCAGCTGCTGAGAGCTGCCAATGCACCGGCGGCAGGTGGGCCCACCACCGGAGTGGAGCACGACCCACCAAATGGGGGGCCAAAACTGATCCAAGAGAGAGGGGGCCATCCAAAACCCAACCTGAGACAAACAGGCACACAGAGACAGCCCGACAGAGCCTCTGTTGGGCTGTCCATGCGCCCCACCTGCCCAACAGTGACCGCAAGCCGGCCCCAGGCTGGGGGCCAGAGCAGCAGGGAGCAGCAGCTGAGGAAGGCCGGCCCAGCGCAACAATGCATCCCTAAAGCCCCACACTACATGCCCGGAGAAGCTGCGGCATGCTACCCATGCACCCCCACACACACACAGCACCCCGCACTGTGAATGTCACATCAGGCCGACCAGCCAGCACTCCGTCGAAGTGAAGCCATGCCCCCAACCGCTGCCACGCACTACCAACAATCACACACACACAACCACAGCCGATCTCCCACCAGAACCCGGCAGCCATCGGAACCAGGAACCCCGATCAAAGGATCCAAATAATCCAGGGAGAACTGGAGCACCAGCCCCACCCCCAATCGCCCCCAAAGGCCCAATACCCACCCACAGCCCAGACCCCAACCAAGCAACCCCCCCCCCCCCCCCCCCCCCCCGGCCCCCAAATGTCAGACGGAGAATGAGGGTTTAAGGAAAACTGGAAGACCCAACTCCTCCCTCCCCCCACCCAAATAAGATGTTGATGCATGTTGTTATATAGTGCGTTTAAAATTGGGGGATGAGGCAGCGACTGGCACAGACCCACCCCCTCCCCAGAGAGCAGGCAGTGCCCGTTCACCTCCCCAACCCTTGGCCAGAACCCTAAATGTCTACATACTACATATGAGAGTGGGCACAGGTCACGGAGGTGAGAATGATTACACATCCCACCTGCTATATGCCACCATGTGCCCACTCCAGACCCTATATATGCATGTGTCATGAGAATGTTATATGTGAGTGTCTAGGTTGTTTGATAAAATTGGGGCCCAGGTCTCCACGAACCATGGAGATGGCGGATCCTCCCCGCAGCTCAGTAGTGCACCTGAACCCCAAGGCCCTGCTTGAGTGGTGGTGTGATGGAGTGGGTGGAGGAAGACGTCGGGATGGGGAGGAACAACTGAGGAGGTGGCAATGCCCTCCCAGGGGGCCAGCTTCCCCACTGACCCAAATAGGCACCCCCATTCTCCGAGATCCACTAGGGGAGGGAGGCTCCAGTGCATCCATCTAGGAGCAGGAGGCAGCCGCACCACCAGGGACCTAGGCCACGGACCGGCAAATAGCCCCGAGGACCGACCAGGGTTCTGCTTTAACCAAATAAAGACGACCGCTCCAAGATGGTGGCCGAAAATCCTGCGCCACAGCAGCTAATGAGGGATCTAGTGTTTATATGATATTTATGGCTATGTCTGTAGCATTTTAGCTAGCACATCTGTATTACGCGCTGCTAGCTTAGAGTTACTTCTTGTGCTGTGCTCTTTAAATTGAATCTTATTGAATCAAGTGTTTACTTACGTAGGTAAACGAAGATGTTTAAAAACATGTTAAAATACATCAGAATGCAGGAAATGGCATGTACTTCATTCACAATTATCAGAGGGAGGACTCCCAGAGCCCCCACATTACAAATGTTTGGGCTGAGCACCCCTAAAGGGCAGCTTCTAGAAACACCCCTGTTCCGCTCCCCCTCCCCCCTCCGTGTCTTTGTGGGGGGGAGGGGGTGCTGTGCTGCGCGCGCAGCTTCAGTGTTGGACAGAGTCGCAGTGAAGAGATAAATATCGGGCTCGTGTATTTCTGAGCTTTGTGCTCTGGTTTCTTCACGGACCGGGAGGAGCAGGAGGAGCGGGAGGAGCGGGGCTCTTCGACGGGTGAGCTCGTGTTTGTGTCTGAAGTAAAAACGGACATTTTATTGGAGGAAATAAGGAAAACGGATGAAAGGAGCGCAGGCGCTTCATGTTGTGTTGCTAACTGGCTGACAGCTCACTGCTACGTGTTTGTGACAGGAACCAGTGACTAACTGGTTTGTTGTGGCAATGACAGTCCAGCTCCCAGAGGCTTGATGGCTCCCACCGGCTAGAGGGGCTCCATCACCCCCCCGCCAGCTTTAATGGCTGCAGGTTCACCAGGGGTGGTGTCTGTGATGAGCCAACAGGAGCAGTCCTGGTGGGAAGAAACACTGAAACCATCATCTTCACCAGCTTCTTCCATTTTGGGTCACAGGTCGCCGGTGTCCATGTCCAGCAATCACTGGGGGGGACACCCTGGACAGGTCTCCAGTCCATCACAGGGACACATAGAGACAAACGAGACAAACAACCATTCACTCTCTCACCTAGAGACAATTTAGAGTTACCAATCAGCCTAACATGCATGTTTTTGGTCTGTGGGAGGAAACCGGAGCACCCGGAGAAAACCCACGCATGCACGGAGCGAACATGCAAACTCCACCGAGAAAGACCCTGGACCCGGATTTGAACCAAGGACCTGCTCGCTGAGAGGCAGCAGCTCTACCAGCTGCACCACGGTACTTAAACTGAAATTTCAAGTCTAGTTGAATCAGTTGCAGAACATTGCATTGTGGGTAATGGCACCAGCCCTGTGGGCCAGGGGACGTTGATGAAAGGGTCACTGGGTTGTTGGAGACTTGGGGCCTGAACCCTCAATCCACCAGCAGTCACGTGCTGAAGTGTCCCTGAGCAAGACACTGAACCCCTCACTGCCTCTGATGTGTGTCCTTCAGTGTCTGAATGTGATGAAGCTCTGATTAGTCTCTTTAGAATGATTTGATCTATCTTTGTGTAGATCTAGTATAGAGCTGTATGAATGGGTAAATGAGGCACAGATTGTAAAGAGCTTTGAGTATCTTGATTAGATAGAAAGTCCAGACCAGTTGCTTAAAAGTTGATTGTAATTGAATTTATCATCACTGTTGTTTTGAGTCCTGGACGTTCAGGGCCTTGAATGTTTTCTGTCGTAATAACTGATTCAGGCGTTGCAATAAACACTAACGCGCTAGAAAATATAAACTGGGATGCATGGATTCAAGACACCCAGGCCAAGTCTGCAGCTATTTGGAGAGAAAGTTAGTTACTGCGTACTTTTTTCTTTTTAATATTCATAATTATTATTATAATTATAATAATAGCAAGACTGACGTAAACAAGGACATTGGAACTGCCCCTGGATGTTTGGAGACGTTGTATAGACACCCCCACTAACGTATTTACCAGCTGGGCCCCACCAGTCACAGCCCAGTGGGCTCTCACCACAAGCTGCACAATGGTTCTGCTTCAGCCAACATTTGATCTTTGTCTTTAAACAACTTCATTCACCAATTTGTGTACATTAAACTAACATTACAGACTAACAACAACAGTAATATATACACATAAAATAAAGAAAACAATGAAATAGTTTAACATATGGCTGCTTTCCTTTAATCTTGGCAGTTATTTTCTCATTTGCATTGTTATTTTTTAATTTTTTTAATAGTCCTTATTAGATTTTTTTAGGTAAGTGGAGGAGAGAGAGAAAGAAAACAAACAAATATAATTATATGTCAAAAGAAAGTAAACAAATGAAATAGATAAAGGATAACTTTATGTAATCTTGTTATTAAGTTCTCCCCCCCCAGTTGTTGGTTCCTCAGTGGTACCGACTCAGGACAATGGAATGGAGTCAAGAATTATGGAGTACATTTTATTGAAATATTCAAACTGGTATATATTGCTGCTTGTTGTTCCGTTGGGATCTGTTGTGTGAGAAGGTGTAGTCATTGTGATGTACTCATGTTTTTCACTTTTCCAGCCGGGTTTGGATCTGTCTGGAGTTTAAGTTCACCTCTAGATTACCCAGTAAGCAGATGGAAGTGGATAGTGGGACGTTATGGCCAGAGATTTGAGACGGTTTCATTATTTCTTTCCAAAAGTTTTGTTGGTGGACACGGTGTGTAAATGTCTGATTCTGCAAGTCCCATGACAGACATCCTGTGTTGTGTGAGATATGTTCTATGAATTATCTTATATTGTATTAACTGTATATTGGTGTTATTGGACATAGTGAAGATGTTATGGCAAACAATATTCCAACATTGATTGTCTGTGCAGATATTAAGGTCTTTTCCCCATTTTGTGATCAGAATTTGAGGTGCATTGTCACTTGAAGATATTAATATATATAATTTTGAGATATTTTTTGTGATTTTGCAATTTATTTTACTAATAGGGATGGCTGTCCTAGGTCAGGATTATTAATGTCCATTTTAGTTTTGATGGACTGTTGATTATATTGAAGGAACTGATTTCTATCGATGTTATATTTATCGATAAGCTGTTGAAAAGTTAAGAGGTTATGCTCATCAAAGATGTGGTGGAGGGTTGCTGCAATTGCTGGGTTTTTAAAACAGTCGTGACGTCTAATTGTGTTGCTAATGAATTTATTGGTTTTACAGTCAAGTTGTTCGATGTCGAGCCATGGATGAACATGGTGGGTTGAGTGTATCCATTTGATGAGGTATTGCAATTGATTAACTAAATAGTAGTAGTGGAAACTCTGTGATGGACTTGCAACCTGTCCAGGGTGTCCCCCGCCCCTCGCACAGTGATCGCTGGACATGGGCACCAGCGACCCCCGTGACCCAAAATGGAATAAGCGGGTAAAGATAAAGGATGGATGGATGGATGGATGGATGGATGGATGGATGGATGGATGGATAGTAGTGGAAACTTGGCGCTTCTAGGCCGCCTTGAAGCTTTGACTGTTGCAATGTTGTTAGTTTTATTCTAGGTTTTTAATTTTTCCAGTAAAATGTTATAATTGTGTCCAGGGAGGTGAAAAATGCTGCTGTAGGTTGCGTAGGAATCATGGTGAATAAGTAGTTAAGTTTGGGCAATATCATCATCTTAATGGTGTTAATACGTCTTATAATTGAAAGAGGTATTGTCATCCATCTTTTAAGTCATCTTTTATTGTTTTCAATAGAGGGGTAAAATTAAGGTGGAACATCTCTGACAGCCGGGGGGAGAATTTCATGCCTAAGTATGTGATCTGGCCAGCAGGTGGTGGTAGGTGAGGGATCTGTGATGTGTAAAAATTGGTCTCCATTTATCGCCAGTGTGGTAGACTTGTTCCAGTTTGTTGTGTAGTCTGAAATTCTGGAGTACGTATTGATTACTTTGGTTAGTTCTTTAATTGATTTGTTAGGGCTTTGTAGGAACAGTAGTACATCGTCTGCATATAAGCTGATTTTATGTATTATGTTATTGTATGAATGCCTTCAATATTAATGTTTTGATGGATTGCTGCTGCTAATGGTTCAATGAAAAGTGCAAATAATGAGGGTGATAGTGGGCACCCTTGTCTGGTACCTCTGTGTAGTGTAAAACTTGTTGAGATCAAGTTATTTGTTATAACTGCTACTTTTGGTTTATTGTAGAAGGTTTTGATCCATTGAATAAATGACTGTCCAAAACCAAATTTTTTAAATGTTTTTATTAGAAATGTCCAATTTACTTTATCAAATGCTTTTTCTGCATCTAGTGAGATAATAGTTGTTTTATTGTTTGTTGGGATAAATGAGGCTGAAAAGTCTACGTGTATTATTTGAAGAATGCCTGCCTTTAATAAATCCTGTTTGATCTGGGTGAACAACAGATGAAATAACTGATTCAATACGTGTTGTTAGCACTTTGCTGATTAATTTAAGATCGGTGTTAATTAAGGAAATAGGTCTGTAACTAGAGCAATGAGTGGGCTCCTTGCCCACAGCCACCCCCAAGTCATGATCAAATTGTCTAAAGGTGTTATTTATTATTTGTGGGTCATTGGTGATATTTCCCACAGAGTCTTTAATTGTTGTAATGAGAGATTTTTCCTTATTATGTTTAAGTTGATTTGCTAAATATTTACCAGATTTATCATTATGTTCATAATGGTTATATCGTAGTCTTTGTAGGATAAATTGTGTCTTTTTACTGATGATGTTATCAAGTTTATTTTTGGTTTCTCTAATTTCCTTATTACATATGACTTATGTAATTGTTTTAATTTTTCTTCCAAGGTATTTGCTAAATTTTGTTCACTTTTCTTTTTAAATGAGGAATAAGAAATTATTTTCCCTCTTAATACTGTTTTAGCTGTTTCCCAGATAAGCGTTGGAGATGTATTTATTATATGGTAAATGGACTGTACTTATACAACACCTTTCTATCTTATTTCAAGATACTCAGAGCTCTTTACAACAATCTGTGCCTCATTGACCCATTCATACAGCTCTATACTAGATCTCTACTAAGCTAATTGAACAAATCATTCTAAAGAGACTAATCAGAGCTTTATCACATTCATACACTGATGGGACACACATCAGAGGCTGTGAGGGGTTCAGTGTCTTGCCCAGGGACACTTCAGCATGTGACTGCTGGTGGATTCGAACCCCCAACTCTCACATTGGATGACGACTGCTCTAACCACTCAGCCACAGCCGCCCCCAAAAATATATATATATCATTTGTTTCCATAAATAATGACCACTGTTTCCTAAAATATAAATTAAATCCTTTGTCTTGCAGTAGAGATGTGTTGAATCACCACCTTTGGCTGGTTTTTGTTTCAGTTTTCTTGTCCAATATGAAAGTGATGGGGGCATGATCCGATATGATGATTGAATGAATAGTTGGGGTGGAAATATCTGTTATCAAAGAGTTGCTGGTAAGAAAATAATCAATTTGTGAACATGATTTGTGGACAGAAGAAAAGTAAGTGTATTCCCTTGTAGAAGGGTTTGTAGCCTCCACCCATCGCCAAGGTCAATACCTGTCATGCATTGTTTAATGGTTTCAGTTGAATGCCAGTTCTTAGTGTGGTGGGA